CCGCACTGATATGGGAAGAGAGGATCTGTCACGCCGCCTTGGAGCATTGCTGTCTCTGCTCCCCTCCCTTATCGCTGGCAGGAGCCAGCAGCGGTCATCTGGGGGAAGAAACTCTGATGAAACAGTGGAACAAAGCTGGGCTTCAGAGGAGGATTATTCCCCACCCTCCACTTCCCCACTGCTTCCTGAGTGAAGTGACCAGTACAATATCCCACAATAAATGATTTGTGGGTGTCCATATGTATAAACCCCATGTTATAACACCTGCATTACTATTTCCTTTCTTATACTTCATATAGGCACCTCAGATATTCTACACCTTGACAAACATCCCCAGCCAAAAGGTTTTGGTTTGCTTGGTTTCTACTCCTTTCCCTCTAAATCAGAAAGCACATCTACCACAGCAAGTTAATATAAGCAAACAAGCCTGCATAATAATAGTAGTATATATTTTTACATTAAAAGAACATCTACTGTCCATTAGCTGACTGATTTTACACTGATAAAGTATTTTTTATTACTGTAAAAAAAAACCTACTCAAACTGTAGCTGCAAATAGAAGTGCACTGAAGTACAGTTAAGGAAATGCATACTTCAAGAGGGAAGAAAATGAAATTGTCTCAGACTTGTCTAGCACTCGTCCTATGAATTACCTCCTTTCCGCACGAGCCCTTTGGAATGGCCAAAGGAGACGCCCCATCAGTGCACATGCTGGTGAGGAAATTTAGTACAGACAAAGTCAATAAAATACAGAGCTGCATACCAAACCTCCAACCATGAATACCTTGATATTAAGGTAATTCCAGCAGGCAGGGATATAACAAGCACATTAACACTGCTTCCAGAGACCACATCATCAAGAAGTCGAAGCCAGGTTGCACACATGCAAAAATGTTCCTGTTGCGTGAAGCCAGATTTGCTTGTGCAAGATCTCTTTTGGCAGACACAACTGATTAAAAGGGTACAGGAGCATGATTTGTTTGAATGGCCTCAGCTGTTTGCTTTCTTTCAAATCTGATATGCTTTGCCACTTGAGCAAGCCCTCAAGCATGCTTCTCTGCCACTCCGACAGAGGACAAAACTTGAACTGCTTTTTCAACCAGCAAAAACCATTAGCAGGTTTGGCATTAAAAAAAAGCAGGGGTGAGGAAAGAAAACATTGAAAGGACTACATAATCTTTAGATCTTTCCTAGGTCTGATGTGGCTCAGTAGGTTATAAAAGCCCCTCTTGAATTCTCAGTGCTCTGCCTAGCATGAACACCCTCCTCCCTTTGGGCCATGCACCAGGTTATGCTGTGCAATAGTCAACCAGCAAAATCTTCCTCTGTAGATGAATTACGGAATACAAAAGGAGAGAGCAGAGGCAGAGGGAGGGAAGCAGTGGTTGCAAAAGGATGCTTCACCTCTGCCACCAGCTGCAACATGCAGTCATATGGATGGACACTGCCACCTTTCATAAAAGAGTCCTTCAGTCCTTCAGCGTTGAGAGTGGTGATAGGCAGGCTGGCAATCAGTCATATTGTAAAAGATGCTGCCTTTAAAAACTAAATTAACATCTTTTTATTTTCTTTCACAAAAGGACTGAACCAGGAGAACTCTAAATACCCTCTCAAGTCAAAATCTGTTCCCAAACCTGTGCCTTTAGCTTCCCATCCCTCTGTAGAACCACCCATCCCCGTAGGGCATCCCTGTGAATGGTGATTCTCCTTGGGCTGGGGCACCCCGGAGCAGGCAGGGTCACACCTGGGGGCTGCAGAACTGACTGCAGCAGAGGTGGGGGTGAGCGGTGTGGTGGAGGAGCTAACGGCATGGTTTCCAGCACTCCCAGCAGGGCCAAGACCAGTATGAAGAAAGCGAAAACCCCAATCCATCTTTGTCTCTCCTAGGCTGCCTGCCTGACATCTGGCCATGCAAGATGAATTAAAGCTGGACAAGTCTCATGGTGCATTGTTTCTGAGGGAGATTTGTGCAGGAATCTTGTTCTTTCCAAGGGCATGATGTTGGACTTTGCAGTAACTATTGATTTACGTAGATCAGCCTTGGAAACTACACTGATGCAAGCAAATAGGAAAACAACCAAGCCGACAGAGAGAAGGCAAAAGATGACTCAAAGCTTATTGAGGTTAATGGAGAGGCTCCCAGTGATTTCACAGGTCTCTGGATCAGGTCTCCAAGTGGAGACAAAGCACATACTGCTAGTACCTGAACAGCTAACACACTGCAAGTGAGCCATCCGTCCTTCCAAAAACCTGCCCTCCCACCTCTGCCCTGGGCTCTGCAGATGAACAGGGGACTTGGCGGTGCAAAGCTTTCATCCAGGAACCCTCACATGTACCAAAGTCTTTCAGAAAGCAGTAAGTAAACTGATCAGTTTCTGAAACTCTCCTTTTTGTGTTCAGTAATACGGTTTACACGATGCTGCTGCAAAAGAGAGAAAGGTTCCCCGGAAACCTGTTCTGCTCTTTTATTTTTACAAATGGCTTTTCTTCTGTAGTGCAACATTCAATACTTTTGAATGTCTCCCTTGCTGGCATATTGTTCCTTCAAACTCTTTTCAGTTTCAAACACATCATTGGCACAGTTAAGCATTTATAACTGCCTCTGCTGTGATGCTTTTCCCACCCACTAACCCTTTCCTCGTTCTTGCTGTGCAAACTTTACCTGGCACTTTCTACTTGTGCAAGTCTAAACAGACTCTCGAGAGCCTGTCCCTTCTGTTTCTGGGGAGCTGGGTGGCAGAAGTACTCTGCAAGGCTGAAAGGGACATTATTGTTGCATTATGTTTATCCAGCTCACACCCTGTACTTCCACTTTCATTTACACCTTCGACCTGCTGTAGGAACATTAGTGACCCCTCAGAGTAGGTCTCTGGCACAGGCAAGCACATCAGCAACACCACAGAGAAGGAACTGAGCTAAGGGAGGATGGGAGTGATGTCTTATCCCAATCAATGTTAGCAGTCAATACTAATGCCAGGACCAGACCTTCAGAGAGCCTAATGCCTACTGTTGTCCTGTTTGCACTCACTTCCACTATTTCTTCACTCTTCTAAGATGCTTTTGGGGGCTACACCCTGTCCTTCTTTGTCCCTGAGGTATTTCTCTTTTCCACAAGGGTCTCTCTCATTATCCTGTTTCCCCCCATTTTGCTTAGTATCACATTCCTCTCCTCTTTTCCACTCTCTGTGAATCAAAAGATCCAAACTTGTTGTGCTTACACCACCACCAGAGAAGCATGTAGTTGCGATAGCATGTAGCTGTGGCAGCAGGGTTGTTTCTCACAAGACTGCACACTGATTTATGTTCTGCAAATGTCTTACCATAGGTTCACAGCACCTATTCCTGACCTCTCCATTATATGACTCTGTTTTCAAGGGTTTCAAATTCCGCAAGGCTTCAGACTTTTGGGCTGAGGTTTTCCTCAAGGCTGGTCACAGGCGAACAATTTTTTATTCATTTGTTTACTTAATGTGTCAGTCAAAACAAAATAGCCATTTCCAAAATTAAAGCCAAGAAAATATGTTTTGGGATGTTTCTGCATCCACGTTAAGACAGCTTTGGTGTCTTTTCCTTCAGAAAGCCAGAGTGTAAACACATAAGGAGTTCTTGGTGCAGAGACTGAAGCTCATGAAGCTCTCTGTGGCCAGCTGAGTGCCCTAACAACTTGCCCATAGAATAACATCAATGTTTTCTTGCTTTCTGGCCTTATAAATCCTCACCCGTACAGTGATGCAGTTTCATTAGCAAGTGCAGAGTCTATCCTCCCCATCTCCCCGGTTCCTTATGAGTGAACCGCAAGGGTGGAAATGTGGGAACACACTGGGAGGAGTCTCACCTCCACCTCCTTTGAAGGTCAGATTTGGGAACACAAGTGGCAGCAGCCATGCAGTTCAGGGAGCCTTGCTATGCAGGAGGGAAGTGGAGAAGCAGAGAAGGGGGTGTGTTGGGAGGAGGTTGAAGACAAGCCAAGGAATGCCTCATTTCTGGCTCTTCTTGCTTAGACATGAGATAAACTAATCCATTTGGTGTCTTACAGGGTGCTTTGTGGCATGCCCGAACACAGAGCTGTTGGGTGCCCAGCAAAATGAGGGTTGGAAATGAAGACACCTGTACATGTCGAGCACTTCCAGCACAAACCAGAAGCTAGGCAGGGATTTTCTGCAAAATAGTTTTTCACTTAGTCAACTAAGGCCTTCCTAAGTCCTACTTAAGTACTTAATTACTTTTTTGAGAATGGGCCCTTCGCCAGCCAGCTGCTCCAGCTGCTGTGAGAGCATGCTTTCATGCAGCTCCCGCTGCGTTCCCCATCCCAGCATGAGGACACCTCGCTGGAGCACTGCTCCCAGGGGAGCTCTGGCCAAAAAGAGGCACTCAGAAAGCCTGCGCTGCTCTTTCCTCAGATTTCAGGGCTGGGGCTCAAGACAGTTGAGTTGTTTGCCCAGAGGCATAGTTTACCTCTCTTTATGCTTATTTATATGCTGCCTGGTATAAATCACCTGGCTATAATCTGACCACATGAGCTCATGTGTCAAGACAGTTTCATGTTTCTGTACACAACCAAGGGACAACTGTGTTTTGTTCTAGCATTTTAGTCACATGGTGGTGGCTTTTATAACGATATAGAAAACAATGAGTCTGAACCCATCTACTGCTCAGGTTGTTATGTCCAAAGTTCGTAGGGAAGGGGGTCCCCTTCCAGGTCAGTGCAGAGCATAAATATACTGGACAGGGTTCCTGTCTAAGTTTGCTGGGACTGTCATTCCCTGCTTACCGTAGGTTGGCTGTGTCCTTGTTTTCCCTTCTTTCAGAGCAGGTAAAGGACAGCACCTTGTTTTTAACCTCCCCTGTACTCACTCATTGCTTCACAAGCTGGCAGATGCCTACTCAACCACTGAATAATAGTAATAATAATAAAGTTATACTCAGAGCAACCGACTTATCAATCTGCAGTTGGTTTGAAATTTGCTGCTTTTGTTTCAGGCCTGAAGAAGGACCAGTGGGACAGAAAGATGGTCTGGTTTCTTTTCTTGTTTGTTTGCTTTTTTCTCCGTTTCTTCATCTAATAAAAATCTGGTTTCATTTAAAAACACACAAGCAAACAAAACCAAAACCAGACACTTACTGTAGATTTTTAATTTAAATTGTCAGCAGGTGGCTGAAAATGAGTAGCAGTGTGCCTAGTCATGGTTATGCAAGAGGCAGGGAGAAAAATTAGCACTTTGCTGGTAGTTCACCAAAGCTGGCTAAAACGCCTGCCTTCCCCAGGGCCACTTCTCCTCCCTGTTTCTCAGCTACCATGGTACATGAAAGTTTATTTATCAGGCAGCAGTGGGATATTTCAAATCATTTGAAGCGGTTTGCGCCTCTCTTTCCTTTCTTGGACTACAGATAACCTGAGCCTCAAACTGAACATTGGACATCAGGTCCCACCACCAGCCTTGTCTCACTCTGATGAGCAGGGGCATCGGCTCCCACCTGTATGTTGACTATACAGTACGAATACATCCAGCAGCTGAGCAGCTCTCTTTTTAATTACCATTTGTGATGCCAATTCATTGCACGAGGCATGCACTGTATTCCAGTCAAACTGGGTTTTGTTTTTTAATTAGTCACTGCGCACCAGGGCTCTCATAGAGGGGTGTAGGTGTGGCAGTGAGGCGAGGCTCCCTGCAGGGTGTCAGGCTTCTGCTGTGGCAGATTTTTTAATGTGCTCTCGCTATGTGAAAGCTGCGTTTCCCGTAAATCACAGCACTCCTTTAGCCCATACCGCAAGAGATTACACTGACAGAGAAATTACCTTAAGTACCCTTAACACCTAACTCTATGTACACATTTGCAAACACTGCTGAAATAAACATGTTTATAATTTTACATTTCTATACAGTCACTGAATCTCAAAACTGAAGTACCATTTTATAAAAAGAATTTTCCACCGAAAAAAATTCTGCATCTTATAAGTATGTGAAAACCTCAACAGTATTAAGAAGCATGGTAGGGCTGCAAATGGCAAGGAAACTGGCAAGGGAGAAGCATTTTATTTAAAGGTCTGTATATTGGTAACCTTTTGTTCATCTAGTGTCTAATGTGAACAGGATCAAATCTAAGTGGGGAAACAGCGCACCTTGACCCATCAGGAAGATGGACCCTGATGTAGTAGTAAAGCTTTTCCTCTGTGACCGTTTCTGGGTCTCTTTTACCTGCATGGTGTAGCTGCTTTGTGCTGCTTCATCTAGGCAGAGTAAAAATAAATGCAGAGTAACCTGCTAATTAAGCCAGATTTATGGCTTCTCTGCATGGCCAGGACATACCAGTGAATTTGGCCTTGTGATTTTTGCAATACTACAAAGCACATTTCCAAGAAAGAAGGATAGGTTTCATCTTAAAACTTGTTACAAGCTGATTTTCTCAGGAAGTTATTTGGTTACAAAGAATTGCCCTGCCTGTGTGAACAAGTTCATTCTGTGGAAAACGTTTTCAAAAAGTGACTCTTTCCTGCTAGCAAAATGCAGCCTGGGAGACAAAGTATCCACTTCCCTTACCTGAACCTAATGATTTTTAAATGGGATGTCTTTCTTAGGCAAAGCACAGATGATGCTACTGGCACAAGAGAGACATCCATAGATTACTTACCTATTTTTTTGCTAATTAATTACTTTATTGTGAGTTATAGAGTCAGTGTGGCCTGTATTCTCTCTGAGGGACACAACAGCTTCAAAAATGCACATTCCTACTCCATTTTCTCTGCACTACAAAGATTTCAGATTGCACCAAGCACCAGTTTCCCTTGATTGTCTAGGTCTGATAAACAGAG